GCGGGTTAGAGAATGCTGGTCGGTGGCCTATGCTCCAATTGAAGTAACAGGAGTAAGTAAGTAAATAACGGAATTACACTTCCAATTGACTCATGATCTGAACTGTTTAAATTACTACACTTTCCACAAAACCCCTTCTGATACTAATCAACATATTCTCACTAGTGACTGGCTTCAAAATACATATCCTGGAGTTCTAATGAGAAGCAGTGACTAGTGGAGTTTAACCAGGTCAGTTGTGAGGTAGTAACTCTCTGAAGAGAACGGTGATCGTGTCGTTCATTTTCGTGGATTAGTTTAAGTTGGACACAAACACCGTTGGATGCCGGCTCAGTGGTCTAGTTGGTTAAGTGCCTGGCGCAAGACTGATAGGTCCTGGGTTGGAATCTCGCGAGGCGGGGTCGTGGAGGCGCACTGCTGAGGAGTCCCATAATAGGAAGAAACAGCCGTTCAGTACTTCCAGGTTTTCCATGGTTGTCTAGCTTCACTTGACTCATGATCTCAATTGTTTAAATTACTGCAATCTCCACAAAACCACTTCCAAATATGCTTACGTACTAGGCATTCATTAAAGAAATTCAAATATAGACATCGGATGTTTTGTTTTGTTTTTCTAAATAGACATGAAATGTACTTAACATTCAACAAGTTATTTTATAAAAGCATTTTCCTTGCAAAAAGAAAAAATAATTTTTCAAAATGGATAACAATAATGTAACTAAAAATTGATTTGCGGATTAATTGACATTTCATTTATGAATTAAAAAGTGGACAGTTTGAAAATCAGTCAAGTAGTTACTATTTACAATTCATACTAAATATCGGTTATTCAAAAAGAAGTTTCTAAATAGGTACTAACTGGATATTCAACGACAAAATGATTGTAGCAGGAGGGGTTTTCTGGATATTGTAGTAATTTCAGTGGTTGATATCATGAGTGGATGTGTACTGCTGAGGAATCTCACAATAAGACGAAACGGCCGTCCAGTGCTCCCAAGTTTTCAATGGTGGTCTAGCTTCAATTGACTCATGATAATAGGTTAATGACGAACTATGAACTCATCAAGAAACATTTAAAAAGATCAAGTATATAATCAGAGATCAAATATTTTAATATTATGTAGAAGACAATTCGGCGGGACTATAATTTATGGACGAATCAATCAGGTAAAAGATAATAGGTCTTAGATTTTAGCGCGAAATTCATTCATCTATTTAGCAAAATACCATATTAGCATTATAGCTGATTTCGATTCGTGATGAAAACTCTAAATCTAGTTCCTAACTCTAACCGTCGACTGTTAATCATAATTCTAATTCTTAACACTGATTCATAGCCGTCATTTGGTCATATTTACTAGGTGGACACGCTCAAGGTCACTTTAGCGTCACTCAGAGATCATCCATAAATGATCGTCTTACTCACTATATCTAAGATTTCATAAATGATTAAATGATGAATGTTTTGATCATCAATATTAGATTTAGTATGTTTTCTAACCAGATACATTTCACCATTCGTACTTTTGTACGAATAATTTCCTTTCAACTAATTGTATAGTAATTTATTGAATGCTTAATTTATTTGAAACGATTAAATCAAAGTCACTTGGCGTTATTTTACTTGTATCTTCCCATTGTTATTTAAGACTGCAATTGATCGGTCTCTTATTGGCATATGTACACCCTGTGCAGACTGCCTTGATATAGCCTTAAGCCACAAGTATTCTAAGTAAAGATCGATAGTGGCTAACAATGGGATCCAAGACGTGCGTTTCGGTTTATTTGCACAAGCAGGTGACTATCAGAACTCAGTAGCTAAGTTGAGATTTAGATGGTAGTTGGAGGTAGTCAACAGGAAACCCTGGACCCGGGTTTTGTGCTACTTGGCACTTGTTAGCAAGGTGTACCTGTAATCTTGAGGGAACTGGTGCTCCCTGGCGGATTCGATCTCGTGTCACCCAGCCTCACAGTCAGAGACGTTACCACTGAGCTCTCCGAGCCGTGACTAACCTCCTGTAGGACTGAGATGTAATCACAATTGCCCGAAGTGTCGAGTCACCTAGACTGGTGGCCACATTGCAACATGATCGATAGCATTCGATCTTCACTAATAGGGACTAGACAAGCATGACATTGATCACCACCCAGTGATCAATCAATTGTGATCAGTAGCTAAGTGGATAAAGTGATAGCTTTTGAAGCGAACAGCACTGGGTTCGAGTCCTTGAGTGAATATCAACTTTGTGATTCAGTCACATCCAGCTGACGAGTCCCAAGTAGAACTGCTAGCCACTATCCATCTTTGTTTAATTAAGTCAAAATTCGATAAAGATACCTACACTAATTGCATGTGAACAATAATAACTACGTTTTTCATTGAAATGTAGTATTTATGCTCACCTACTAGATTTTGTGATGCCTATCTACTGTTACTTTTTGATATGGTCGAACTGCATTATTTTTTTATCATGTCAGTAAATGTGTAAACTAACCTGAGTGTTGATATACAGCAATTCAATAATAATTGGTAAGAAGTGTTGATGAAGATTAGTGAATTCAGTTATGGAACCAACAATAACCACAAAGTAGGAAACTCCAGCAGTTTACATATACAACATAAAATTTTCAAGTTTCTCTATGAATACTCAAACTATATACCACTAAACTAGTACCCAAATGATACCCATTTCTGAAGGTTTGTGTTCATCTTATTCAAGAATAGAGAGAATGAGAGACTTTATTAAACGATTATTTAACACAAGGAATGTAGTTTATTATATTAAATGATATAAATCATATTCCATTGGTTAAATCAACTCAAAATTATTATTAACCAATCATTTCGTCGAAGAAGAAGAAGAAGTGTAGTACACAATGTACTTCATTTGTATCTTTCAATTGATAAAGTAAATGTTTATGTCATTACATTTCAAAATGGAGGATGAAATATTCGCAGAAGAAAAGGACACAAACAAACAAGACAAAAGAAATATTTCATAAGAATATTCGTCAAGATTAGAACGAATAGTTTGAAAGAAATTGAGCGCCAAGTCATTATATGTGCAAAATTATATTTGAAATAATGTCAGCGATTGAAATTTAAATAATTCCAACGTTTTGTCCATCTAACTTGTCTGAACTTCTTCAGGGTAACAAAACAAATTTACATTTTCAATAGAGGCGAAGAGAATTTACCGATATCGATTTTTAAATATTTGCGCCTTTTCCGTTAGATTAAAATTTGAGCATATTCTTTTATTTTATTTAATCAAGATAAATTCATGTATATATTTATGATATAAATAGACAGTGTATAAGAATCTGTATCTGAATTTGAGCAAATAGTTTCATAGTATTTATATTCTAACTTGTGGTTTAATGCCCCTGATTCTTGTTTTTCACACCATCGTCAATTGTTATAACTTGTGGCTTGTATGCCCTGTTAATGTATTATGTGAATATTTATCGATCGGACCAATATCGCATAAAACCCGTACGAGCAGTCTAGAGTCCTTATTGGTCCTTCTTTCTGCATAGCCCTGCCCATTACGTCCAAAACACCGATCTCAGCCTCTACAATATGAATCATGTATTTCAAACATACTGGGCTTATATGCAAACCAAACAGACCACATCTTACCATAACATAGAAAATAACATTTGTACAAGGTCAACGCAAATGTAGTTGTGAATATGGGTGACTGTGATCAGTAGATTGGGCATAACTTAAGAATGGTAAATCGTATAATAATAGTCTAAGGGTCAAAATAAAGCTTATAATAAGAGGGACATGAATATGCATAGTTCAGTTACTTAATAACTATACAATAAAAATATATGTATCGTATTAAACAATGAATAGATCCCAACAGTTACCATTCATTATTCTCCTCGTGATATAACAATAATCGTATGAGGGTAGTAATTTTGAACAAGGTCTTCCCATTCTTCTTTTTTTGAATAGTCACAAAGTAGAATAAAATTCAAATATTTACATTTATATATACACAGATCTTCAAATATAACAAACAAACCACTGATTCGGTATCCAACGGTGTTTGTGTCTAACTTCAACCAATGCACGCAATTGAGCAACACATCCACTATTGTTTTCAATGAGTTACTATCTCACAACATTTCCTGTTGAACTCCACTAGTCACTGCTTCTCACTAGAACTTCAGGATATAACTCTTCAAGCCAGTCACTAGTGAGAATTTGTTAATTAGTATCAGAAGTGGTTTTGTGAATATTATTAACAAGGTCAAAGGTCACTCAAGAAGAATGGATAAATTGGCCTGTCCAGAAGCTAGAATAAGTTGTATGGGCTTAACGTTGTAATTGACACCACAGTATACCTTGGACATGTTTCTATGTTCGAAATAATTAATAAATGATTAATATGTTAAAACCAATATTCAGCTTATAGATTTTTATTCACCAATCAAATACCCTCAGATATTTTACTTTAAATCAAAGAGCTATTTAAATGTTCAAAACATCTAACGTTTTAATGTTAAAATAAGTCCTGTATAAATAGTGAATTCATACTGATGAGGAATCCCACAATGGGACGAAACAGTCATCAATTACTTTCAAGTTTACAATGATGGTGTAACATCAATCAATTCATCATCTGAATCAATAATAAATTATAATAATTTTTTTCACACATTTTAGGTACGATTACTGACACGCAAACACACACACACCGATAAATTAAAGTTAAAATGTCAATATACAAATATAAATTATGAATGAACATTTAAACAATCTTTAATCTGAATTAAAAAATAGAAACCCGAATGTTTATATTTACCGCTCAAAGTCAATTTAGGTTAAAATATGAATTCACCAATTTATTTTGATTATAACCCTGCTGTTTTATCTCCTTAATATTGGAAGAAATATATATAAAAAATTATTAAAATATATTCAAAATAAATGGTGTTCTTTTTATTGACCTTTCAAAATCTATGTAACATTTATAAAAACTTTAATGATTTACTATTTTAAAGAAATCGAATATTCATTGACCAATATGTATATTACATCATCATCATCATCATCATCATCATCATCATCATCATCATCATCATCATCATCATCATCATCATCATCATCATCATCATCATCATCATCATCATCATCATCATCATCATCATCATCATCATCATCATCATCATCATCATCATCATCATCATCATCATCATCATCATCATCATCATCATCATCATCATCATCATCATCATCATCATCATCATCATCATCATCATCATCATCATCATCATCATCATCATCATCATCATCATCATCATCATCATCATCATCATCATCATCATCATCATCATCATCATCATCATCATCATCATCATCATCATCATCATCATCATCATCATCATCATCATCATCATCATCATCATCATCATCATCATCATCATCATCATCATCATCATCATCATCATCATCATCATCATCATCATCATCATCATCATCATCATCATCATCATCATCATCATCATCATCATCATCTTTATGTTAACAATCACAATCATTAAAAATATCCTGAAATGTTTTGTTGAAATAGAAAGATTATTTTTTGTTAACAAATGTGATTTATAGTTAATTGCATAATCTTATTCTTTCTTCTATACAGTATCCAGAATGATTAAGAATAAAAGGTTTAATCGGTCATGTTACCGTTTTAATACTTTAAATTTGTTTAAAAAAAATAAAGATTTGATCTTTTTGTAAAAATTCTTTCGAAAGTTCAATCTATGACATTAGGCGTAAGTTTTTTTCTAAATACAAGTTAGACATTAACATCATAGGATGCAATCTTAGTGGTCTAGAGGTTAAGTGTTAGTGCCGAAACGGATAGGTCCTGGGTTCGGATCTCCCGAGGAGGGATCGTGGATGCACACTGTTGAGGAGTCCTAAAATAGGACGAAACAGCCATCCAGTGCTTGCACATTTTCCATGGTGGTCTAGCTTTAATTGACTTATGATCTCAACAATTAACCTTGACTGTTTTTATCTGAACATATGGGTGTACACTTAATTCTACTCATCACATGTTTGTAGCTTACTTTTGTGTGATTGTAAATTTTGATTAACTCTTGCCTAAATAGAGTTGGCTCACAAGCCCTCTTCACTGCGCGTCATTTATTTACGCTTCGCTTTTTCTTCTTCTCTTTATTTCCCGCGATTCTCCGATTGTCTTTCCAGATCAATGAGTGTATAAAATATACATATTCAAACATCCATTCTCGTATTTGACTTATTTGATTCCATTATTTACCAACGCCATTTCAGTCGATGATTATGTACAAAGATTGACGATATTTAGATTTCAGTAACAATCAAATATATGATATAACTGGATTCAGATCGCGGTCCACAAAAATACCATTAAAATATTCACAAATAATCAGTGAGAACTGAAAATATTAGGAGTTACACTTACAACATAACGGTAAACTCAGTAAAAAGTATTACAATGGAATTTTCATTGTTATGATGTGAGTAGTTTGAGAAACACATCGATTATAAGATTTTGTATTGTTCTAAGTAAAGTAGTTAATATTGTGTTCCAGGATATAAGTTCTGAGTCTCAATTTGTAACATAACTATACATGATCTTCAACCATAGGTTAACTGTTATTGTTCGATAGTAAAGAAGGAGGGTATTGGAGTAAATTTTCAAAAAAAAGACCATTAGATGAAAGATGAGCTAGTTGATTATTAAGCATGTAGGATGTAACTAAATTAGTTGATAAGAGCAGTCCAACACGATTAGGATTCAAATAAATAGGTTTCAGGTTTGATACACTGTACTTATAAGCTTTATTGGGTATATCACAAGATATTTAGCTGTAATTCAAAGTTTCTAAAAAGGGCCTGAAGATATTTCCTTTTTTGAACATTAAGATTTTGTTAAGTACTAAGTACATAAGATAGAAAAATGAAGGGATTTACTATTATCAGTCTAAAAATATAATACTTCACTACTTCAGCCGGTCGAGGTCATCCCAACATGTTACTCACAAAAGAGATCTGTATTAAATCATTTAAGTGACCTCCAAATATCTAAACTCAGGAACACAGCGTATAAAGCGTTAACGTTAAAAAACAAAAGGTATCAGGTTCTAGTTCCGCTGTAAACATGAGCATTGAATTACAGGTATTTTGAATGAACGAGTAGCAATTAGGGTTGGGGGGGGGGAGGAAATCAAGTTGCGGATTTTAATACTAACCACAATCTAATTTTATTAGTGAGTTTAATTCAATTAAACTAATTCAACGAACAACTGACATAAATTACCTCAAGCATTTGTAACCCTTCAGATTATTTACATTCTTTTATTTGCTCAAATAATATTGTCTTGAATAATAAGAAACTCATGAATAAATTATGTTCTTTATAGATTTATACAAATCTATTTCTCCCTTTCTATAAACTGAAATGATTTAATCCGCTCAAAATACACTTGTAAAGAATGGGATTGGTCATTTACTATCTAACGTAACAAAAATGAAGTTCTATATACCTTTACTTAATAATTCATCTGTATAACCGAGTTTTTTTTATGTTCAAAGACCATATATCAACAAACATCATCAGATGGTGAAGAAAGATTTCTATCTAAGGTGGATGATTTCGGTGGAGTTTCGTTCTCTGAGCTGGGATGTTTGGTCGTGGAGCTTTCACCGTTCTTCTGAAAGACATCATCCGCACAAACTTCAGATAGAAGTGAATTTCTAATTTCTCCAGCTCAGAGAACGAAACTTCATCAAAAAGAGACATCATCAACTATGATGTCATGTGTAAAGCTATAATTAATTTTATTTTAATATATTAATTTAATTTACATATACTGTACTGTTTTTAAGATGATTAACAATTGTTGAACATCTTACTGGATGATTTTCGAAATTGTATTAGTTTTGTACAAGGATGTAAATTTTGTTTTCATGATAAAGTTCAGAATTAGTTTACGGTATAGAATGACAATGTATTTGTAAATTGATGATGGAATTCATTTTCAGAAACCTAGAAGCACTGGATGGCCATTTTGTTCTAGTGTAGAACTCCTCAGCAGTGCACATCCACAAAACTCGAACCCGGGACCTTCGATCTCGCACACGAACTCTTAACCTCTATTTATAGTCATTTTTATAATGAATGTGAGGAATACAATCCGACAGATATTTTGAAATGATTCATTTTTGAAATTGATATCATGAGACGGATCACTGGCGAGACTATAATGTATGGACTAACCAATCACGTATAAGACTACAGATCTCACATTTTGGATTGAAATTCACTCATCCATTTGACTAAATAGAGTTTTGGTCTTATAGGTGATGTGAGTTCGAGATGAAAACCCTAAATCTAATTTCTAACCTTAACCATCAAATGCAAATCATAATTCTAATTCTTCACATAGGTTGATGACCGTCGTTTGGTCCTGGTTATTAGGTGGACACTCTCAAGGTCAATTTAGCACCACTATAAGATGGTTTATAAATCATAGTCTCATCATAACTAGTATTGTGGGGAAAAGAATTATCTTTGGAAAACCAGATATAAATATCGTGTTTAAATTTATTTTCAATCAAATCCGTATTCCTACCGTATATTCATATATACTATTATCTTCATTTAATTGTAACTCATTATGAAGTTTTGCAACAACCCTAAATCTATGTTCTAAGCTTAACCATCAACTGTAATGTGTAATTATAGGTTGATAACCCTCATTTAGTCCTGGTTATTAAGTGAACACTCAAGTTTAGTCTAGCGTTGCTCAAAAGTCGTCGATAAATTATAGTCTCACCGGATCACTTTCAGTTATAGATGGATCATTATTGTAAAGATGGTGCTATTTCTCAAATACTTGCTCGGAGAATGAGTATTTAACTGTACATTATATTAGTTAATCAATTTTCAATACATTACATGAATTATCAGAAGGGGTTTGTGAAGAGTTTTTGAAATTTCACAGGTTGCAATCATGATTCATTTGGAGCTAAGCCACCATGGAAAACCTGGAAGCACTGGATGGCCGTTTCGTCCTAGTATGGGACTCCTCAGCAATGCGCATCGACGATTTCGCACCCCACGAGATGCGAACCCAGGACCTATCAGTCCCGCACCAAGCGCTTAACCAACTAGACCACTGAGTCTACCTCCAGCTGACTCATGATTTCAATCTGTGATATTACATGAATTAATGTATAAATTGACTTATAACTCCTGTAATAAATAGATTACATAAACCCCTAAACATTCGACTAACCTAATAGTTTTGTACATTTACAATGCTCATCAATATAAACAACAAATACTATTGAACTAGAAACTATTTTATTTAATTAACACTGTACCAATTTTCGGACACTAATTTATTTTGTCTTTAGTAAAGTAATAAAATTTTTCCATAAATAAAAAATATGTATGTAGGCATTTTTGGTTATTCAACTGTTTAATTAAACACATTTTATGTAGGATAAAGTAACTAAACAAACCCTGAAATAAATTCCTTTACAAGCATAATGTTTAGCTAACTAAACTTTAACGGTGGTTGAAGAAGACATATTATATAAACACTAGTAACAATCATTGAAAATCAGAGAGCAAACAGCACAGCTTATTCATTTTAGTATGGAAATTGCAGCATTATACAAACACTAAACTACAAGGAACTGAACCCTGAATGTTTAACTTTCATGATGAACATTTAACGTGTGGATCAATGAATTAGAGTTCAGTGGTTGACATTTAAAACTTTAATCAGTGATCTACTTCATGGTTAAAGAAATTGTATTGAATCAATGAAGATTTTTAAAGATTTAAAATTTGATGGCCTATAACTTAATAAGTGACCGAACAGTTGATCAGTCTTTATTAGTCATGTTACTATGTAAGCTCTATTATAAGTTATTTGTGGTTTAAGGTATGCTACTTATACGGATAGATATAAGTAATAAGTATCAAGAATTAGAAGTATGATTCTTACTGTCAAAACAGGAACATCAGTAGAACAGAAAAGAAAACTAAAATAGTCAAAGTAGCAAAAGGAAAGCAAGAACGATGAAGTTTGTAATAGACAATTCAAGGAAGACATGAAAATCTTGTATTCAATGTATTGTTTTCATATTTTACAAATGATTTCGATTAATATGATGAACTGATCAAGCATACTCAAGTCGTTATTTACTACACTGTGGTTAAACGTTAGGTCACTGAAAACAGTCAGCAGGGAATATATCTTGGCAGTTAATATTCATAAGTAAGGTGTATCTTTAGTCTTAAGATACCCTATGTTTACTACGGCAATTGAAGCAGTGTCGTCTAACTCTATAGCAAGGAACAAGATAATTGGTCTGTCCAGTGTGCAACTAACGTCCTGTTTGAAAGAGATAGTTTACATTTGATTGATAACAAAGTAGCATTGATTATTGGTGTATTTGTCCTGTAGTACTAATTTACATCAGTTAAAATATAGGTCACTGGGAACGTCTGATATCGTGAAA